CACACACACACACACACACACACACACACACACACACACACACACACACACACACACACACAAAGACATATATAGAGTAGAAGAAGGACAAAAACTTTCTTTCAGAAATGTATCTTATTCAAGGATACATCCATGAGCACCATGAGACTACGACACGATTCCAATGGAAACTTCATTTTCTCATCCAGCTCTGAAAATAAAATTGCAAGTGTAACATGCAACATCAAGGGAGATAAACGTTACCAATACGTTAAAGGCAAAGCAAATTTACATAGTTGTCTTCTCTTAATGTTTGGGCGACAATTTTACATGTATTATCTCGTATATTATACATAAATTAAACAGACAATGTGTAGTAACAAGAAAACGTGCAGTCCATCAGATGTTAAAAAAAACACGTTCAAAGATCGTATAAGGCTATGCAAACGCTAACCTTCTGTGAATGGCATATTTACAAGACACATGAGGACACGTCATACCCCCCCCCCCCTCACTTCCATGAAGTAAATACATATTAATGCATAAATGCATAAATACATAAACATATAAACGCGTAATCGCATAAACACATAAATAAATAAATTAACAGATAGACATATAGACAGACAGACAGATGGACATATACAGTAGATAGATAGATAAATAGATAGAATGTTGGAGTTGGATGCTGAGCAACATATGGAAGGGACATAATCATGATAAAGTACATGAATGGAAGTTTGCAAGAGTAGTCCATCTTTTTTCCTCACTCATTTCAATCTTAAATTGGGAAGTTAAAGTCTTAAAATGTGGGTTAATTTTGAAGGTGGATTCTTCTCAGTTCTCCAGAACATAGGACTAAGGTGAATATTCCCAGAGAGGCTTTAAGAAAAACGAAACGACAGAGCAGATTCATTCCTAAATAGCTTGGTCTACATGAGTGTTAAAAGTTGAGAGAGAGAGAGAGAGAGAGAGAGAGAGATTGAGATAGACAAAGAGAGGGAGAGAGACAGAAAGAGAAAGAGAGACAATGGGAGGAAAGAGAGAAGGAGGGGGAGAGGGAGAGAGAGAG